TTATTTATAAATTCTAATACAAAATGGAGTTCATTTTTAAAGACACAGTTGTAACTGATTATAAACAATTTTATAGATTATATCTCTAAATTAGATACAAATATTCAGAAAGTTTTCAAAAGCAATACAAATAAAAATTTAAATTTCTCCACTAAAATGCTATGCATTATATATCACGCTGATATATAGATTTTTACTTGAATTAAAAAAAATTGCATTAATACTAATGCTTCGTTTCATAAAAAAATAGAATGATGAAAAGTTTGAGAAATAGATAAAATATCATAATTGTTAAAGAAGGAAAATAGAAATGATGAAAAAAGAAATGAATTAACTTTCATTTCAACTTATCAAAATCAATATATTTAAAATTAGGGAAAAAAATAGATGAAAAATTAATTATATATATTGAAATGTATGTTATTTGTTTATATATTATTTGATATATACATATATAGTATTTATCAATTACATATTATGTATATATTAATTTCATATATAGATATAATGGTAAAATATGTATTTATCTTTTTTCAAATAAAAAAAATAAAGATAATTTTTTTTTCATCTTATCAAATACAAAAAAAATCAACCCTTCCTATTTTTTATCGCTCTTAACAAATACAAAAAAAGGAATGAAGAATTCTATTTTTTATCCTTTTATTTTTTTATCTGTCCTACCAAACCGACCATAAATCGTGTCTTTGGTCTCAATAGTCTTATAGTCGTTTGAATTCACTGATTAATTGCCTTAGGTAAGAGAATATAATCAAAAGTTTCATAGTATGAGGTCGATGAAGAAATATTATTATAAATTATTCGAATTTTGGAGAAACCCAAATAAAAAATAACCTAAAATTGATTATAGAAATTTTGATTTTTGTCGGTATTCCCGGTCCACTATGAAGTAAAGTGCATGCTTTTCAATATGTCGATGGTATGACGCTATGGTAGAAGAGAAGCATCAATTAGCTTAGTTGGTAAGCTCTCTTCTTCATATTTTAACCCACAACAGTAATGTAAATTCAAGATACATGTATCTATAATATAAAATAAAATAGACTTCAATAAATTTATTCGATGATCTCAAATAAATTTATCTAATAGCCACTAACATTCCTCTCAAACCATTTACATTGAATCTCTCTCCCCTTCCCTCTCCCCCCCCCCAAAAAAAAAAAATCCATCAAATCTCATTTACATTGTACCGTGCCCAGGCACGAATTACCCCTAATTTACTTGTAAATCAAGTATATCGAATAAATCAAAAATGTCTAGTTTAGTTTCGAAACCTTTCCCTAAATTTCAATCTGGTTAACTCTTAGAAAGTACTCATTAGTTCATAGGATACAAGCAAAAAGATAGAAACGCTATCTTAAAGGCAATAGAGGACTTAAGGGGAAGTTCAAATGATAATAGAGATTGTAAATATAGACGTTTTAAGTTTAAATTTTTGTAACTCATTTGTGTTAGATTATTAAAAATTTATCTCTCATGATTCATAAATACCCTAATTCCGATATAAAAAACCTACCTTTAATGGAATAAAAAAAAAATCGATGTACATGTAGGCATGTTAAGTTTGAAGATAGGACCTTATAAAACTAGCAAGGAAATAGGCTGACCACGATGACTAGTGGGCCTATGGCTATTAAGTCCATTCAAGCAGCCGGATAAAGCATGAATGAGATTAAAGTCGCAGTGTTTCTTCGATAAGCAATTGTAATTGGATCTTTATATAGGAAGTCAATGTATTATTATGCATTAGATTAGTAGCAAGTTCTATTGGCGATGGAAGGAGATCCTTTCCAATACATTTTATCTTTGATTTGTTTTAATAAATCATTTACAATGCGTTATATTTAAGTAAAATTTGTTATATACAAGTGAGTCTTTCACTCACATGCCCAACCCTATACATAACAAAAAAACGTGAGTATTAGGTTTCACATATAAATAAGATCTCAAATTTAGAGGTGAATAATGTAATACAAACCTAAAATTAAAACTCACTACAATGTATTCTAATTAAAAAAAAACTCCTAAAAGAGTAATACAATAAAATTAATTTACAATTTGGACCCCAAAGTTCAACCCACATCAAACAATTATATTTATTAAAGGTAAAAAATAATTAACAATAAAAAAAATGTTGGCATCATTAATCTATTTCTCTAATCAAAAGAAGTATAATGAACATCTCTCTTTAATCCAAAGATAAAATTATATCAAACACATTGTCTGCTTCTCTCAAAGTCTTTTTTTTTTTTCATTTAAACCAAAAAAGACCAGCTAAACAATTCATTCTCATAAAAAAAAAAAAAAAACTTTTGATAAAGTTATTACTTGTAACAAATAAAATATAACAAAATTTAGGTGAAAGTTGTATAATACATAAGCGAGTAAAATATCATTAAAAAAATTAAAAAATAGTGAAATAATTCAACAAAAAAGATAACAACAAATGTATTCATAATAAAATCAATCACGTAATATCACAATTTCGATAAAGATCCTGCAAAACAAATAAAAACATAAAAATATTAATGAAGCAATAAATTATATTCCTATAAATATCTATNAAATTTGAATAATTGCCTATCCAATTATACCATATTAATTTTGCTTTTATTTATTATTTATCTAGTTACATTAATTCTCACTCCTATCACCCATCACCACCGGTCCACCTCGGTTCCACCACCTAAACCCACCCATCACCATTAATTCCACCACCTAAATCGACCCATCACCACCGATTCCACCACCTAAATCCACCAAAACTTTCAAACCCACCAAGACTTCCATACCCACCATCACCAGTACATAAGACAGAGAGAGAAAGAGGAGAAACTAAAACCACAACCCATTAAAACCACCAGTGAAACCATCACCTAAACCAAACCGATCATCAACCAACACCACTACATCGCAGATGTTAGGGTTTCAAAATCCACTTGCAAATTACACCTACAAAATCCATTCATCACCATCAGTTCCACCACCTAGGGTATCGATCACAGAGAGATAAAAAAGAGAGAGATAGAGATCATAAAATCCTAATCTCTGCGATGGTGGTGCTGGTGAAATAGGCGATTGTGGTTCGATTGCTAGTGTTAGCGTCGGTTGTTAAGGGGGTCTGATACGTCTTTAGAGAGAGAGAAAGATGGTTGCTGGGGCTTTGATTTGTCATGAGAAAGAGAAAGAGAAAGAGTGTGTGTGTGTGTGTGTGTGAATTAGAGAGGTCAGCTTTTCAAGGGAGGGGGCTTGGGTCTTGGGTCTTGAATCTTGGGTTTTAGGTCTTGGATCTTGATGAGTAGTTAATGTGAGGGTAAAATAGTCTTTTTGTTTGTGCCGTTAACGGCGTTCATTTTGTGGGGTCTTAGTGTAATTTTAAAAACTTAAGGGGTGTCTATGTAATAAAATTAAATATCAGGGGTGTTAATGCAATTTATCTTAGGAAGAATTATACCTAAACCCTTTAAAGTTTGTCACTTAATCACTCAGACCCTCTAATATTTGAAATATTATACATAGACTCCCTGAAGNAATTTTAAAAACTTAAGGGGTGTCTATGTAATAAAATTAAATATCAGGGGTGTTAATTCAATTTATCTTAGGAAGAATTACACCTAAACCCTTTAAAGTTTGTCACTTAATCACTCAGACCCTCTAATATTTGAAATATTATACATAAACTCCCTGAAANTTAATGCAATTTATCTTAGGAAGAATTATACCTAAACCCTTTAAAGTTTGTCACTTAATCACTCAGACCCTCTAATATTTGAAATATTATACATAGACTCCCTGAAGTTTGTACGCACGTAACACTTAGACCTCTGTAAATATATTTATTAATAAATTATACTTAGACTCCCTTAAAATTTATAGGTATATAATACTTAGATCCCTTAAGTTTAAAAATATTATAGTTAGATCAAACATATTTCAATCAAAGTTAAAATATCAAATATTTTAAATTTTACGATTAAAATTCATGCTCTATTTATCTTTTCTTGGNTAACACTTAGACCTCTGTAAATATATTTATTAATAAATTATACTTAGACTCCCTTAAAATTTATAGGTATATAATACTTAGATCCCTTAAGTTTAAAAATGTTATAGTTAGATCAAACATATTTCAATCAAAGTTAAAATATCAAATATTTTAAATTTTACGAATAAAATTCATGCTCTATTTATCTTTTATTGAAATAAAATCAAAAATAAAAATTCAATTTTTCTTAAAAAATCGTAATTAGTATACAATTATATTGTTTATTGGAATTTAACTTGATTGTTTTTAATTTTTTTGTTTTATTCCAATAAATAGTATAATTGTATATTAATTACAATTTTTTAAGAAAAAATTAATTTTTTTTAAAATTTTATTTCAATAAATGATACAATAGAATATGAATTTTAATTGTAAAATTTTAAATATTTGATATTATATTTTTGATTGGAATATTTTTGGTTTAAGTATAATATTTTAAATTTAAGGGGTCTAAGTATTATATATTTACAAACTTTAAAGGAGTTTAAGTGTAATTTATTAATGAATATATTTACAGCAGGGTCTAAGTGTTACACGAGTATAAACATTAATTTTTTAAATGTTAGAGTCTAAACGATTAAGTGACAAATTTCAGAGGGTTTAANCAGGGTCTAAGTGTTACACGAGTATAAACATTAATTTTTTAAATGTTAGAGTCTAAATGATTAAGTGACAAATTTCAGAGGATTTAGATATAATTCTCCCTTTACCTTATTATCTACTAAAGCCAACATTTAATCAAACGGTGATCCGTTAATCAAAGCAGTTCTAACCGTGAGATTAAAACTGGCTCGCTCTAATCTCATCTCTTCCTCCTATCCAAAACCAAGACTCAAAACTTTGTCATCACGTTTTTGTCACGCGCCATCTATAGCAGCATATTGATGTTGTATGTGAATTTAATCCCATATAAGCGCGTCGCGTTTATTACACAAGGATGACTTGGGGAGGAGTTAAAAGTCATACACAAGTATACAACAGCAAGAGATCGAACCTCGATAAAAGCTTCGTTCGAGGATTCTTATTCTTGCTTGCGCCTTCGAGTTCTTCTTTCTTCTACACTTCCTCTTTTCTCTCTCCTGAAAATTCTCCGGTGAATCGGGGTTGTACAGACGGAGATCGGATTTTTTCGAAACTGATGAGTATGAAGATTTTTGTGAAGACTTTGAAGGGAACTCACTTCGAAATCGATGTGAAACCTGAAGACACAGTTAGTTCTCTCTTCGATTCCCTGATAGATCCTCAATTCCGTATATTCGTTCATATATACTAAAGTTTTGTGCTCTTCGTTTTTTTTTTTTTTTGCTCAATTCGATTGAGAATTGGAGAATTATTTAGGTTTTTGTCATGTTATATTCGTCGTCTTGGACAGAAATCTATATTTATACCTTCATGTTTGTGTGAATTTTGGTGTTCTATATGTTTGGATTTTCTGAAAAATTTCATAAATTGATGCGGTCTTTATCCACTTAAGTACTTGGATTAGGTAGTTCAATTTCCTAGTGAAGTGATTTGAGCAATTAGTGAAGTGATTGGAGTTCATGTTGAATTCATGTGCGTTATTGCTACAAAATTGATTGGTAGTTTTACCTTTTTAATTTGATTTACTGACGCTATTAATTTCCACGAGGCAACTTAAGGAATTGATTAATTATTTGTTGTACAGTATGATGCTTTTAAGAGTGGATTTGCTTCAGTTATATTATTGTGCATTTTCATGTAAAGCTCCATGCAATTAAGAAAATTCTTCCTAATTATGAAAATTGAGGCGCTCCTCTATCATTCTCTTTTGATGCCCAATAATGACACAGTTGGCCATTTATGTTTGTTAGAGCATCTTCAATCTTGTCTCAAATTTAAATTTGAGTCAAAATAACCCAAAAAACTTCTCCAACCTTAGACCCAAACTTATACTAAATCAAAAAAAAATTTATTCTAAACCCAAATTGAGGAAGACTCAAATTCTATATCAAATTTTCAACGATAACTTTTTATGTTATCCAAACCCAAAAGACTCCTTTGACGGGAACAAGTTATTGCCTCTCTTGCCTCTATCTTCAAATCCGCTAGTAACACGCCGACCACACCACCTATTCTTACTTCTATTGTTTGACGGTAACTTTTTACTCTCTATCTCTATATCACTCAAAAGAGGTTGGTATTCTTGCTTTTTCTTTTGGTTGATATTAGTGAAATTTGTAAGAAATAATTTTAATATTGAATAAAATGGTTTGATGGAAAAAATTAAAAAAATGAGTTTTGGGACAATATGATAATTTTTTGAAAGAGTTGAGTAGATATTTGAGTTTTGTCCATTGGAGTGTTTTATATCAAATTAAGCTTTTTACTCAAATTTAGACTCATATTTAAGTCATGGTTGGAGATGCTATTACTACACTTACATATTCTCTTATCCTAGGACTTGGAGAATAGATGAATCTGATGCTTTGACGCATACCGTGCACCCAACACTCACATCCGAGTCCATGAAATGTAGTACTGGACGGACTAAAAGAGATTGAAATCTGGAGTAGGACATAGTGAGCTAAACAAAATGAGGTACTTACAGATATCTTAAGTGGTGGGACTATTGGAAATTGGGCACTAAAGATGACTCACTTGAATCTGAAATCCATGCACTTGTTTTAATGGAGGAAGGACTATAAGAGACATGCACAAGAATTACCAGATATGAAGAAATCTGTTGTCATTGAGTGCTGCTGCATCCTAGTGAAATATTAGAGGATAAGAGGGAAGCTCCTGTGCCTTTATGTTGTGAATAGGTAGAGGCAAGCTCCTTGAATTGTTATTATTAGAAAAAGGGTGCAGTTGAGATAACACTAGGCGATCTTATGCTATCTCTATTCATACGACTCAACTCTGCATATTTTTCAGATATTCATATATTCTCAAACATTGTGCTGATTTTCTGTGGTTTCTAGTCACTTGAACTGTTTGTCAATATTTCCAGTAATTTTGTTTGTTAATTTTTCTACTTTTCTCTGGACAAATGCAGATGTATTTGTGCTGTGCCTGCTCTTTTCATTATGCTTGCTGAACTACTTTTACTAACATTGTTTGAAACTGATGACTGTATTCTTCAGGTTGCTGATGTGAAGAAAAATATAGAAACAGTTCAGGGATCAGATGTTTATCCTGTTGCAAAACAGATGCTTATCCATCAGGGGAAAGTTCTTAAAGATGGAACGACACTGGAAGAAAACCAAGTTGCTGAAAATAGTTTTGTCGTCATCATGTTAACAAAGGTAACAATTGTTCTTCTTAGTTGTTGGGAATCTGAAGTGAATTGTTCCATTATAAAGTTTCAAGGAATTGACTTTTACTAAATTTGATCTCATTCCTCATGTTGGGACAAGACTTTTTTGAATTTGGTTGTATTCTCATTGTTTCATTTTTTAGGTGGGCATTGTCGTCATGTATGCTTATGGCTTACAAGCCTAGTGTTTATCTTGATGTTTGCTGTATACTCCCAGGTCTTTTATTTTTATTTGGGGTCTAGGAAGATTGATTGTTAATCTCATGTAAACTATTTGTGTTTAATGTATATTATGTTATTGAAATGGTTTTTGTCCGACAATAATTTCTTATGCCAATAGTGCCGGTAGACAGAATAGGCATGCATTAGTGTGTCTGATTGGATATTTTGCTCTTTTGCATAGGGTTCCTTAAGCACATGAACCTGCACCAATATGTGTTTTTAGTGTTTCACAATGGTTTCTTAGCTATCTTTCTCTCAGTTGAAGCATTTTTTGGAGTCATTAAGATATTTACTATTTAGCTGGTGCTTATTTTTATTTTATTTGCATAATTCTAGAGTAAGAGCTCATCCAGTGAAGGCTCAACTGCATCAACTGCACCTACAACTAAGGTAATATCCAAATTATGTTAATGTTGTTACTTATCAAATATATAGATATATGTGTGTCCTTGTTTTGAACTGTGAGAAGCCCATTCAAAGATGAAGGACAGGGCTCGACAAAAAGCTACTTTTTCTTTTTTTTTTTTTTTTTGGGTTTTTTTTCCCTGGGGAATTGAAAAAAAAGGGGCAGGGGGCTCAAACTTGACAAAAAAAGGATGCGGTACTCTAATTATGGTCACACATTTAGATTTCACGTGACCAAGTTAATTAACTCACATCAGCATCTCCCACTAAGGGTTGCCCTTGCATTCTCCGTTCACAGTATAATCCTCCACCAAAATCACTGTTAATTAACTGGCCGTTACAAAAGCCACCCTTTTCATGTCCCTCATTTAGAAACTAACACCTTCACGTAACTCATGCAGTCAAGACATTATCACTCTTGTCCATGGTGCTCAACTTCTCATCTTTGAATAAGACATAACTATACTGAAGACAGGCCACCAATCTGTTGTGTATAAACCATTATGCCTGTAAGCTCAATAATAGATAAACTCATGGAGAAAATTCATCCCAACTTGTTACTCAAAATGGCCTACCAATTTCATGCACTTACCCTTCCAGAGCTAAAAACACAAAGCAGAAGAGGGTTCACTGGTGGTGATGAATTTAGTTTTTTCCTAGTTTCCGAGCATCATCAAGTGTGATGGTACCTTGTATAGTTGTATTCCACTTGGGCTCTGTGAGGGGCCTGTTAAGGTTTAACACCTTTAGTTGGTGTGGTACATTCAGGTAGTAGATTGTTTCTTGTCAGTTACATGAGCAGGAGTAACTTGTTTTCCAAATTTAACTTCAAAAAAAGAGGAAGAGTACATCATGCTGATTGAAAGAATTGACCTCACAGTACTTTAGTGCTNTTTTTTTTTTTTTTGGGTTTTTTTTCCCTGGGGAATTGAAAAAAAAGGGGCGGGGGGCTCAACCTTGACAAAAAAAGGATGCGGTACTCTAATTATGGTCACACATTTAGATTTCACGTGACCAAGTTAATTAACTCACATCAGCATCTCCCACTAAGGGTTGCCCTTGCATTCTCCGTTCACAGTATAATCCTNGGTCACACATTTAGATTTCACGTGACCAAGTTAATTAACTCAAATCAGCATCTCCCACTAAGGGTTGCCCTTGCATTCTCCGTTCACAGTATAATCCTCCACCAAAATCACTGTTAATTAACTGGCCGTTACAAAAGCCACCCTTTTCATGTCCCTCATTTAGAAACTAACACCTTCACGTAACTCATGCAGTCAAGACATTATCACTCTTGTCCATGGTGCTCAACTTCTCATCTTTGAATAAGACATAACTATACTGAAGACAGGCCACCAATCTGTTGTGTATAAACCATTATGCCTGTAAGCTCAATAATAGATAAACTCATGGAGAAAATTCATCCCAACTTGTTACTCAAAATGGCCTACCAATTTCATGCACTTACCCTTCCAGAGCTAAAAACACAAAGCAGAAGAGGGTTCACTGGTGGTGATGAATTTAGTTTTTTCCTAGTTTCCGAGCATCATCAAGTGTGATGGTACCTTGTATAGTTGTATTCCACTTGGGCTCTGTGAGGGGCCTGTTAAGGTTTAACACCTTTAGTTGGTGTGGTACATTCAGGTAGTAGATTGTTTCTTGTCAGTTACATGAGCAGGAGTAACTTGTTTTCCAAATTTAACTTCAAAAAAAGAGGAAGAGTACATCATGCTGATTGAAAGAATTGACCTCACAGTACTTTAGTGCTTAAATATGGAGCATATGTTTGTATTGAATTTTGTCCTTGCAACATTAGTTGATTTGAATTATTTTGGTTAATGCCCTTTTTTCAAAATTTGATGTTTTCTCTTACCTTTAAGTTTTGTAGTTGATGAGATACCATCTAACAGTTCTGTCTGCCATGTAGGCTCCACAGACTAGTTCACCAATTCCTACTTCAACTTCTACACCAACAGCCTCACCAGCTCCTGCTGCAACGTGAGTTTTGAGTTTCCCTTGGCATTAGTAAGCATGAGTATTTTTAATTGTTATTCTTTTGGTTGGAGTTATTTTTTGGGCAACCCAACCAGCCCTGCCCACCCCCTGGTGTTCTTTTAAAAGTTTTCAGGTGAATTTTATGTTGTTGATTAAGGTTATTTTCTGTAAGTTGATTTATTCTTCATCATAGGCCTGCGCCTTCTGTTCCTGCACCTGCTCCAGCTGCAGCTCCAACTCCAGCGCCTCCAGTTGGTGCTGTGTGAGTGTTCTCTCTTTTTAATACCACGTGACAAGTTTGTGTTGAAGTCTCGTGGTATTCATTTATTCTATTTATAAGAACTGCTGCATTGGTTCTTTCAGTAACATCCATTAATGTTTGTTCAACCAGGTCAGATACTGATGTCTACGGCCTAGCAGCATCAAATCTGGTTGCTGGAACGAACCTCGAGGGAATAATCCAGCAGATACTTGATATGGGGGGAGGAAGCTGGGATAGGGATACAGTTCTTCGTGCTCTTCGTGCTGCTTACAACAACCCAGAGAGAGCTGTTGAATATTTATATTCTGTAAGTGCGTTCACTTGTATCTGATTCGTATATATTAATGTCTGACTTTGGACTTGGGAATACTGCTTGGCTCGCAATAAGGTTGAAGGACATATTCTGTCGCTCCTGACTGCTGTTACTTGGGAGGAGTAGGGAGAGGATATTTTTTTTTTGATCCAAGGGAGAGGATAATTGGAAGATGCCTTCTACTTGCCTGTGGGAGGATATTATGAATGGGATTTCGCGGATTTCGCGTATGTTTTAAATGAGATCACAAACAAATAGCAAAATGCTAAACACACGAGGTTGTGTGGTTTAGCTCAAATGCCTATACACATGTGCAATGCGCAATGATAANGTTTAGCTCAAATGCCTATACACATGTGCAATGCGCAATGATAAAATTGCACTACTAAAGATGAACATTACAGAGAGTTCTCTAAAATGGAATCAAGAGAAAGAATACCACTGTGTGCCAAGTTTACAATTTTAATAGCAATCAAAAGCCCTTATTTCCTGATTGGGTTTCCCAATTCTTAATCGGATGAGATTTCAAAAAAAAAATTGTAGTTTCAAGATCGAGTTGGATTTTTGGTCCTCGGCTCCATGGATCATAAGGCTCATGAAATTTTCCAATTAAGCTCCAGAGAGTTTTATGATCGGGTGCAATTTGAAGGGGAAGCCAAGACATCAACAGAAGTTACTTTAAAAAAAGTATGATTCACTTGAGGAAAACGGGCATTAGTCTTTTCTGCGAGATTATGTGTTTTTCGGTCTGCATAATGCACATTTGTAATAAACAATTTTCAGTGTTGTCACTTTGAAAATATTGGCATGAACTGTCATAATTTTCCTTTTGAGTTGTTTTTGCCATATTTGCTTTGATTATTTGGTGTGATACGACTTATAAGTTCTCTTAGCATTATGAGGGTGGTGGGATGCTACTAGATTTGTTTTCCCAAATAGGTTATTGTTACGCAAATGATGGGCTTATGTGAAATGGTACTACAGAACAAACATCATGGTGCATATATAAGGGAGATAGATACGAGTCATACGACTTTGCATATATGAGGTGATTTTTCCTTTTTTTTTCTTCCTATTGTTAATGGAGAGCCACATTGCCTTTTGAACTCGTGGCTACAATGTGAACTCTGGGTGTGTCGCAATGAACTGGAAACCTCACACATCTTAGAGTTCTCATGAGAGGGTTGTGATTGGGACCTCAAGATACCCTTACACCTTACAGGCTNGTCGCAATGAACTGGAAACCTCACACATCTTAGAGTTCTCATGAGAGGGTTGTGATTGGGACCTCAAGATACCCTTACACCTTACAGGCTTTTCTGACCATTTTTAGGGTATTTTATTAATGTGTTATATAAGTAATGAAGCTCTCTCTCTCTCTCTCTCTCTGGCTAAGAATTCTGTCCATGTATATTATAGATGTGTCCGTTGTTCGATCAATGCAATCAGTGGTATGATTCCTTGTACTAATATTAATTGGAATCTTTGCTTTCGTTTTGGACATTTTATAACAGGGGGTCCCTGAACAAACTGAGATTCCACCTGTGGCACGGGCCCCGCCAAGTGGGCAGGCTGCAAATTCTCCAGCTCAGCCTCCTCAACCAGCAACCACTGCTTCAAGTGGACCAAATGCAAATCCATTAGATTTATTCCCCCAGGTATGTGTTTTAGTGGTAATTTTGTCAGTTTTCTTGGAACTTTTCAACGATGGACTTGCATTTCTTGTCGTAGGGTCTTCCCAATATGGGTTCAAATGCAGCTGGCGCAGGAACACTGGATTTTTTACGCAATAGTCAACAGGTACAAAAATGCCTTTTTACTCTCTTTTCTCTGATTTTGTGTGCAAATTGTAAAAACTGTCGACTCTCATTCTCTGATTGGCTGCTCCTCTATTTCAGTTCCAAGCCTTTCGAGCTATGGTGCAGGCCAACCCACAAATCTTGCAGGTTTTTGACTCCTACTTTCTGATCCACCTCTTTTCCGTTTTTTTAAACATGTATATCCATGCCACAAGGACCTTTTCATTCTTGTTTTGTTGACAGCCCATGCTTCAGGAGCTGGGGAAACAAAATCCTCACCTGATGAGGCTTATTCAAGAGCATCAGACTGATTTCCTTCAGCTGATCAATGAACCTGTTGAAGGCGGAGAGTATGTTCTGTTGGTTGCATTCTAATGAACTAATTATGCATGCCCACTATGCTAATATATTTGAACTATCATATCAGGAACATGCTGGGGGAGCTTGCTGATGCAATGCCGCAGGCTGTAACAGTTACACCCGAAGAGCGTGAAGCCATAGAACGAGTAAGTTTTGCCTCCTACTACTATTGTTTGGAATTGGATTTGTCCTAGGTGATCAATCATATATAGTATTGATAAGTGTTTTCATGACTGCAATTGATTTGCATGCTTCATTCATTTGGGAGGGGGATGATCACTACTTGCATTGCAAAGATCTGGAAGGGGTTTGTTGTCGGATCAAACATTTAACTGGTTAAAATTGAATACTACTAGAGTTTTTTATTTATTTATGCTCATACAGTATTTCAGATTTAGAAGAATGCCCTCTAGATTTCTCTGAAGCATACAGATGATGGTTTGTAGCCTTGAGTGAAAAATTGCTGTTATTTTTCTGGGGTTTTGAATTTGATTCTGTAGCTTTCTTTGGCTTGTTTGCCTGTAGCGTGCTAAAATATAAATTCTAATGCTATAGTAACAAAAACATGTTACTATCAACCCGAAATTCATCTTAGTGGTGATTTTTCCTAAATCCCCAATTTTCTTTTTTTTTTTTGGTCTGTTTTTCAGCTCGAAGCAATGGGTTTTGATCGAGCAATTGTGCTAGAGGTATTCTTTGCTTGCAACAAGAATGAGGAGCTGGCTGCCAACTACCTGTTAGATCACATGCATGAGTTTGAAGATTGATGGTCTGAGTTGAGGTGGATGTGTCTTACTACACCCCACCCCAACCCCATAAAGCAAAGCAAAAAATTAAAGAGTGAAAAAAAAAAAAAAACTGTTCTCTCTCTTAATCTGTTCTTTATTTTCTTTAGGTTACCCTTCTAAGTATGTGTACTTCATCTCCTTGACCTTTGTTTCGGATTAAAAGATGTCAAAATCGCTGGAAAGGACATTAATGCCATGATGCAGCTATGTTTGTCATCCCTCCACCGTAGTCTTCTCTTTTGTTTTTTTGGTACACAAAATAGATATGTAAATAGATCACTTTACACGTTGATCAGGAAATATTATCTCTCGGCACCACACAATTATTTACAGAAGACTTTATCGCACTTATGTCGGGGCCGAAATTATGGTCTCACAACATGCTTTGAGCGTTAAAAAATAAGTTTGATTTCATCTAGTTGTTATAACTGTGAAGACTTGAACCCAAACATTGAACAAAAAAATTCAAGTTTTTTTTCACAGGACCAACTACTCGGTGATGCTTACCTCGTCTTCTCTCAGTTCTACATTTTTAATGTTTTGTGCATATTGGTCGTCAGTTAAAATTGTGTATTTTGATCTCTTGGTAGTCTCTCTATTTTGACGCAATGGCTCTAACTGAGAATGCTTTTTTTTTTTTTTAATATTTGGGGGGAAAGTGCTAACTGAGAATGTTAAAGCTTCACGAACGTGAGCCTTCCTGGCCTCCCAACCACACCCATTATCTGTTGGATGAAGAGGTTTTGAAATTGTAGAGCTAAAAACGTCTAAAAATTTCAAAATATTTCTAGAAAGTGGAAAGAACGAGACAGAATGACAAAAACATTAGAGAACTTCTCAAGGAACACTTTCTATCTCATGCCACAGTTGCCAGTGTACACAACCCATGAAATATTTGCCCAACAATTACTTTCAGACTCAATTACTTCTCAAGTTTTTTCCACTGCCTGTAATCTGGTGTACATGTAAAATTTTTTTTAAGGAGAGGGGGGGCTAAATAATGTTTGCCTTCATGGGCTCCCAAACAGTATAAGAAATGCTATGAGACACGACTTGTGCGATGTATAAAATTTGTATCTTATTACCTTGCATTACTTTGTTCATTATCTTCGCCTCTTTTCTACCCCCAAAAAAAAAAAAAAAAAAAAAAAAAAGGCCCCTACCATTCGAGGAGTAAAGGAGTTAAACAAATAATTATAAATTTTTGGGGGTGATAGAAAATATTTTTAAAAAAAAAAATTTAAATAAGGAGTTATTAGTCAGTGGAGGGATATTTTGCCACATGGTGAAATGTAATTAAATTGAATGTATTAAAATAAATCAAAACTTTAAGAATTTGAAAAATTAGGGAGAGAATGTCTCACAAGATCTCTCACACCTAATTTGTTTGCTATATATATAATATAGTATAAATTTGCACTTAATTTGTTGCTAACTTAATTACTAATAATTTTTTTTTTTTTGAAAAAAAAAATAGAATTTATATTAAGAAAATAAGTCTAAAAAAAGTAGGACAGAAGAAATTCAGGTGTTATTTCTTCTCATAAATCAATATCCTCATAGTACCTACTACCCTTCTTAGTAAGCTCGTGCGCATCAGAATTTTCTATTCGCCTAACAGTAGACACTAAAGAAAAAATAAACATATGAAAAATACGTTTAACATCAGCAACAACGGAACCAGGGATATAATACGTTTAATTAGCTTCAACAAATTAAGCCTAAATAGATATAATCAACTTGTCTATATCCTTGATACAAACTAACTACAAATTGGCGCTTTGAGGGCAGTGCGCAAACTTAGCAGATCGCCCACAGGTCATGGCCTCCCATTGATTCCTTTTTGAGGAGAAGAAGAACACAGAGAAAAGAGAGGGTTCCCATTCCATCCCATCATCTATCCACCCTCTTGTTCCAAATTAGTTGTTCATTATCCCAAAATGCCAATTTCTTTGTTCTTGTTTCTGGGTATTAATTATATTCAAATGAAAACATGTTGTTGATTGTGAATGACCGAGAAATATACCATCATCACCATCATGGACGAAGAAGAAGCTTATTTTGAAGACGCTTTTGAAGATACGGCCACTGGAACGCCTCTGTCAGCCATTGCGGAGGCGTTTGAGGAGCTGTCGGCTTTAGTAAGTTCCAGTGGGTCTTTTGATGATCTTCGTTTGAAGCCCTTTTGCGATGCTTGTTCGCTTGTCTCCATCCTCTTCGGTTGTCTAGGAATTGCCTTCAAATTCGCCGAGATGGAGTACGTCTCTAAGGTAATTTGGGATTTACTTTATGTCCATCATTCATCTTCCTTCATCATATACATGTATGTAATGTACCCTCGTGTGTCTGTGTGTGTGAAACTGTTATGGTGGGTAGAACTTGCTTGTTGAAAATCGGTTGCAAGAGAAGGATGTCTTCATATACATACATTAGGTCTTATATTTAACCGAAGATCGTAACATTCTTTCATATTTCTGTCGCCGAAGTCCACGGGATTCCATTCTACATTGACCCAACGGTAGCCCTTTCCTTTGACGACTTCACACACCTATCAATATTCGTCGAGATAGACTTTTCCCTTTTGGTGACTCCACTCACGTCTTAGTGTTCAAGTAGATAGTATTATGGTCATATATAATACCAAGTCATTTTAATCCAACTTGTTGGCTGTCCCTTCCGTGACTCGACTATAGAGAGCAGTAGCCCATGCATTCAATTTCATACTCGACGTGATGATTAGGTTTGATACCAATTTTTATGAATTCATGGGTAGAATTGTCCCTAAAAATCAGCTTGGGAAAGGTGTCAAAGAGTTCGCGTACACATATCTAATCTTATACTTAATCAATGGGAAATCATAACAGTACTTTGTGCCCTCATTAGATTATAAATGGTGGTTTTCCTTTTTGTTGTGTTTACAAGTTCTGCATCAAGTAATTGTAGAGATAAAAGGTTGAAAAGAACCATAATAGTGTAATTTACACGGGATATCGGGTAGATTAAAATAGGGCCGGCCCAACCTCATTGTAGAAAAAGCTTCGGCTTTAGGCACCACAATTTGAGTTATATAATTAACCAATGTCAAAAAATTTAACTTTACAAAAATTTTAAATCCTATAAAAAGGCGTCAAAAAATTTAAGTTCAATCAAAATTTTTAATTTCAATAATTTGGGCTCATGATTTAAACTATAATATTATAAAATCAAAAAAAAAAAGTTAAAAAAAAAAAAAAACTAAATGTATAAAAAATTTACTTCAAAATCAAGTTATATTTACCTCACATTTACTCTATTTTGGTAAAAAAACAAAAATAAAAGTTAAAACATCTCTATCGATAACACTGATTCTACCTCTATCATACACATATATAATAAATAAAAATAAATTAATTTTTAATATTAAAAATAAAAAATTTCATTCGATATTTTCGCTTTAGGCCTCAAAATGTTTTGAGCTGCCCCTGGATTAAAATGATAAAGTAGGAGCCACCATCATGTCATTATGGGTCTGTGCTGAAAGATTATTCCAGTACAACATTTCATTGAAGTTAATCTTGTAATATGCGCATAAAGCTTCAAATATTAGTGCAACCATTTGTGCAAATTAAATTGGGAGGATGAGAAATTGTAATTTTAATGCAGTATCAGAGTCCAGAACCAGACTCTAAAACCAAGTGATAACAAGTCAAGGCCTTGAAGGAATTAAACCATTCCAAAAGTAACCAACTTGGGTTTTGTCCCCCCCCGCGGCGGGGGTGGGGGGTATGTTATGAAGAATGCACTAGACTTGGTCTGCTAAAGTGAATAGTTTTCACTGTAATAGTTGATGCCGAAACATTACAAGTTTTGCAGCTTTGAGTGTACGATTGTGCCACAATAACTGGAAGATTTAGTAGCTTTAAGGCACGTATGGATTTTGAAAGTCAATAGTGGCATTGTTCACTTGAAAGGGCTAGCAAGTATACCTCTTTTTTGGAATCTTGGCGAATTGGAAGGCGGCTTGTGATTGATTAGTTTGTCATCTTTAGTTTTCCTATCTTTATGTATTGCCTTTTTGATGGTTTGTATTTTGGCTGGACAACTTGTCCATCCCTGTACAACATCTTTTTACTTATAATAAAATAGTGTCTTCTAGCAAAAATAAATAAATAAACTTTTGATCTGGGGAAAAAGCATAATTTGCTCCATTAGTTAATCATTGTGGGATGGTGTAGAAATTTTGAAGTCAAATAGTGATCCAGCTCTAGGTTCATTTGGAGTAATGTGGTTTGCTACTTTAATTTCTTTGACTGGGAACATTTAATAGAAGTGTCACTTCATTGGGGCCTGTTTTCTTTATCTTGGTAGAACAGCAAGAGAAATGCTGGTGTGAGTATCAAAATTGCTGCTGTGTGTAAATTATGCTAGATTACATCTGTTCCCGATCTGGGTCATGGCCTTCATTCTTTTTTGTTTTCCTTTTCATGTGTTTGCAAGCATCCACAGGAGCTGACTGCTTCCCTTTTCTTTTTTTTTTGGGGGTGGTGTTTGAGAGTGGGGAGGGATGGGGGTGAAGGTACTTTTTTAAGGACACATATTATCACTTTATGTTTCTATTTGCATGTACCTCCAAATAATGATGTTCTAATTTATTATGTCCCATATTTGTTACTTCTCCCTTTTTGATTTCTATCTAAGAAGCTTCCCTTAATTTAATGCTGTAATTGATTCTTTCAGGTGCGTGATCTTACAGAAGCATCAAAGAGATATGCCACTTTAAATAGTATACTTGATTTTGATGTCAAAAATGACAGTGTTAGAACACCAGGAAGCCTTTCACGTAATCTGCGCAGAGTTAGGCAGGGTCTTGACCTCATTAGAGTTATATTTCAGAATTTTCCGTCATCAGAGTATGTTTCACTGCTCTTGTACGAATCTTTTTCTAACATCTGATGTGTTAATGGGCACTGGGACACCAAAATCAGAATGAGATATTGATTGGACACACGAGCATGCAATGTGCATTTGGTGTACAGCCTATTACTTCATTTTTTAGTTGGAAGTGCTTTCTTAAGTAGCATGTTACAAAAGTAAGCAGTACTTGTTCTGTTTCTGTTTATTTTTTTGGCAATATTGAAATGACCAACAGATACTTTTGAGTTTGTTTAAAAAGCCTTTAAAGTTCTTTGACATGTTTAAAATGTTGGTGCATAATTAGTTTTTCTGTTTACTAGTCAACCGTACTTATCACCATCTTCGTGCATAAACAACTATGTCTACTTGGGATCTAGTTTAGGAAACTAATAGTCTCGTTGTCAGGTATGTGAGCACTCTCGTATCTATCAGCAGAATCAACTCTAGTGTCTATCTGTGGCATCAAATACGCAAAAATCCCAAAAAGTAGACATAAATTTGAAAGATCACCAGTACATTGGTTATTTTGTTCTAAAACACTAATTTTGTTCTAAAACAAAATGAACAGTTATCTTCCTAGAGGCTATAATCTTTTGTTATATTTTATTCTTCATGTGGCATCCACCTGCTTTTAACATAACATATGAAAAGAAAAGGACACATTGTACCATGATTAGGCAAAAGATGCATTAAAAACTTGGGTTCTAAGCCTTTTATTTTCATAGGATGTCAGACCAACGTTAGGGAGGTAGTCAGTTTTGTGATTGTTCCTCCCTGGCTTACCATTTACCTGATTTCTTTGTTCCTTTCAGTGAATGTTCTTTGAAAGAGGCAGCGTCAACAGCTTATGCAAAGGTTTGTGCGCCATACCACACATGGCCCGTCAGGACGGCTGTTTCTGCTGGGATGTGTGCTCTTCCAACAAGGGAACAACTTCTCCTGAGGCTAAATGAAACAGGTCAGCTCTGGCCGGGTTGAAATAGTATTGGTTTCATGGGCTAGATATACTGAAATAATGGTGATATTCGTAGATAACAACAGACTGTTATAGAACTCGGTGTCTAGAACATAGTAACAATGGGTAAACAGAAGAAGTTTTACTGGACCAATGGGTGAATCTTGCTGAGTTAGCATACGAGGTTTGCAGATGGACGAAAACACACGCGTGATCATGGTTTTTTGGGTGTCACTTAAAGAATGCAAATGCTAGGAATATATCATCAAAGTTTTGGTATATCACATACGGGTTGTATACCTCCATTTAATTTGAAAAGAAAAAGGAATTACATACTCGTAGTCTTAAATTAGCTTTTTGATTACATGATTAGCCGCCATTCCAAACTGCTTTAGTTGCAAAAGAGATTATCTCTTAACCTTTGTTTTCTTAGGTAAGGCATATGTTTACTTCCTTTAAATTATATTGCTCTTGCTTCAGCTTATTTTGCAATACTGTTACAGATAAGTCAGCAGGGAAGGAAATGAGAAGGTACATCAATGCCTCACTTCCAGTTATAGAATACATTGATAAGTTGTACATTTCAAGGAACATCAGCTTGGATTGGTGAATTTATCGTTAATGGGAAGGTTTCGATATCAAACAGACATCTTATTTGGACAGCAACAACTAACCATTCTGTATTTCTGTGCTCCAAGAGTTCTGTGAGACCCAGAGAATCTACACCACTCCCCTCCCACGAATGATCTTTGATGAATTGAAGACATTTTCTCTCGGTTCATTTCTATCATTTCATTTTTGCTGTCGGTGAACTTGGGTGCTCTGCTCAATCCATTGTTGAGCATCCTCAATTTGGTTTTGTTTATAGTCAAATTTTCAGGTGGCTATAGAGAATATCAATTTTGTCATCAATATTCAATTAACATTCACTGGGCTTAGCCTTGCCTTCCAATGTCTTCCTTGACTACTGCTAACTTGGTTTTTAGGCTCAACCTTAGGCACCTGGTGTTGGAGCTTTACCTTGAAGCATCCTCCTCAGAAAAGTTACCAAAAAAGACCCAATTATTTGCTCATTAAAGGGGTGAATATCTTATATTAATAAAACATAGTGTCCTACTTGAGTTCCTTACTTGATTAGTGGTATAAACTGACCCACTGCATATCTCTATGACAACACAGATTGTTTAGATCTAATTACATATCTATATGATTAGTAGGATATACCTCTTGGGGCAGAGTACTTTTCAGCACTGCAATGTAATTCTGGGCTTAGATCCCGGGCCCTAACTTGGCTCAAGTAAAAATGAGTCTTACACTTTGATCAAATTTGAGCAACCGAATCCGAATTGAGCCCAAGGAGTTTTGTTCATTAACAGCCAACTTTGACCTCTCAAGCTTTCATTGGGCCAGTGATTGATTTGCCCACCATTGTCAAATAGCCCACCATTGGATCTACCACAGTCCGTTAGAAGCTAGACATATAGTCACTAAAGGACATGTGCCATGTGGGAGCTGTAGCTTTTTCTAAGCGCCGGGAAACTAGGGTTTTGGAACCCTAGGGTTTGCCTCCTCCTCCTTCTTCTTCTTCACAGCCTCATGCCCGACTCTTTACCAATGAATTCTGATAATGTTGATCATCCTCTTCCACTTCAACAGACGCTCATTGGAATCTCACTACCTTCTTTGGATGCCATTCGCGACTTCATTCAATAGAAGTGGTCGCTAAAAGGAGACTTCTTTGTTAGGTATGCAAGGCTATAAAGGTCAATGGCAGATATATGTGTACGAGAAAAACATTTAAGTTTTGCAAACTTGTTTCAAGCAAGGTCATGATGAATCACAGTACTGTACAAACAAGAAATTGACGATCTTTCAATGAAACTAGGAGGAGGAAAAATTTCAAAATGAGAATAAGGACAACCCGAATGTTACTGATTTGGTGCAGAAACTTGGAGATGTTAATCTAGATTTCTTTACATGTGGTGAGCTTGATAATTGATGGTAAAGATAGACGCAGGATTCATAGTGTCTACTCTACTCTGTACTCACAAATGCTAAAGCACTGTTTAGAGAAAAGTTATTTTTCGATATCGTACTTTTTTTTTCACCTATAAAACATTGCACATCTGAAGTTTTTTTATTATGTTATTTTGTTTTATTTTATTTTTTCCTGTTTAATTGTTATACATAAATTAAAATGAGATTTATGGTTATGAATTATTGTTTTGTATGGTATCTAATTGTTAATTATTTGCTATCAAAACCTTATCTATTGCCATGATAATGTATGATTGTCCATTAGTCGGCTCATGTTGGGCATGTGTCATATTTAAGTCATGTTGTAACAAAGTTTATTCAAACATATACCGGCTCATTTATAATCTTGTATAACCGGGTTTAGAGTCGTGTTTAGTTAATTTCCTATCAACTCATTTATTTCACGAATGTAAGCCAAAAGAAAATGAAAATGAAAAAAAAAAAATCAATTACACCACAAGTTAACTCCTTTGTTTTTTTCTTTTTTTAATTAGACACTATTATAGAAGAGGGAGATGACGAATGTCAAACCTATAATCTTGAAGTCCAACAACAGACACGGTTATTAATAGGCCAACCGCTAACGATAGTTTCCTAATGATTCAAACATCTAACAAGAAGAAGCCCACAACTAGGCCAATCATCAATCATCAATCCATCATAGATTTATTATCTCTTGAGGCATCCTCATATGTTTTCAATCTTCTTTTATTAAATATCTTGACACTATCATGCTTTGAGCACTCAATAAATCTCCTCCCAAACTTAAATAAAGGCAAAAATGGGATTGTAACATGACTAACTATTCTTAACAAGATTTTTCAACTTGTCATGAAATCGACATGAATTTCGCTATAAACTAGTTGTGNAATCCTCATATGTTTTCAATCTTCTTTTATTAAATATCTTGACACTATCATGCTTTGAGTACACAATAAATCTCCTCCCAAACTTAAATAAAGGCAAAAATGGGATTGTAACATGACTAACTATTCTTAACAAGATTTTTCAACTTGTCATGAAATCGACATGAATTTCGCTATAAACTAGTTGTGTTTAGCCATAGCATGTTTGAGTTATAAACTAGTTGACTCATTATATTTACTTAATAATTGATACAAATTCAAATATATATGATATAAATTCGCCTATATAAAACTAAAAATGAATCATGTGTGAGTTAAATTTTAACATGTCACAAAATTGACACGATTATATATCTAACATCAACTCATTGATTTGAAGTTCTAGGGCAATTTTATGAGATNAACATGTTTGAGTTATAAACTAGTTGACTCATTATATTTACTTAATAATTGATACAAATTCAAATATATATGATATAAATTCGACTATATAAAACTAAAAATGAATCATGTGTGAGTTAAATTTTAACATGTCACAAAATTGACACGATTATATATCTAACATCAACTCATTGATTTGAAGTTCTAGGGCAATTTTATGAGATTTGAGCTATATTAAATTGCCATAAGTACATTTCTCCTATAACGTTATCATCGATTTTAATTTACTCCCAATTATTTATTTATTTATTTTTGGTTAGGCACTATTACACGAAGGAAACCAATGACGAAGTTCAAACTCTCGACCTTGAGATCCAACAACAGGAGTGATTGTTATTAAGTCAACTACTAACCTCATTCTCAATTAATTCAAAACTCGATCAGTCATACCCTTCATTTCAATTTATCCTTTTTGTTGGAAACATGAAATACACATTTGCACACAACTTCTTATTGATATATTTTGCCCAACATAAATTTATTTCCAAATTATATTTTTAAATTCTTACAATAAGTAGTATATTTATGAATATTTTTCTAATTAATGATAGAGAAAATAAAGAAAAAGACATCTATGAGAATCCACTTGCAAGCACATCTAATACATTAAAAGAGCATCTCTAACAATAGTAGTTATTTTAGCTACTCAAAAAGTAATATTTTTTTTTTAGTTACTCACTTTTTTAATACACACTCCAACAGATTATCTATATTTTTAACTACTTTCTTAATATATTATTTCTCATTTTTTTATTATTATTCTTTTCAACAACAAAATTTTGAAACAATCATCATTCCCAACCATCAAATTTTCCAAACGGCTCTATTTTAACAACACTATTTTAACGACTGTTCAGACTATTACTTGAGTCATTTTGTTCAAAGTCCACAGCCATTCCAATTTGTTCAGGCTAATTTTATTTTAACGGCAGTGGACTATAAAGAAGAGAAGATCATTTTCATTCAAAGTCCATTCCACCTACACTCTAATTTCTATTTTCTTTCCTTCTCTGTGTTATCTCAATGACTCATAATCCAGTATACAAAATGCTAATCGAAGACTCTGACTCTAGTGATGAGTTAGAAATAGTTACTGAAGTTCTTATGGCACATGAACTACAAAACAGCAAAGAGGGGATCCACATCACAATGTGGTTCTCTTCCAGGCCATGCGATCATCAGACGTGATTCTTTACAAGGCCACCAAAGGCTTTTTCTTGATTACTTTGCAGATTCACCAATATATGATACAAAGTTATTTCGGAGGAGATTTCGAATGAATCGTTCTCTTTTTCTTCGAATACAATTTGCGCTAGAGGCTCACGAACCATATTTTGTTGAAAAAAGAAATTGTGCTGGAAACCTTGGCTTGTCTTCTCTTCAAAAAATGACGGTTGCTATCAAAATCCTTGCTTATGGGGTTGCGACTGACTTTATGGACGAATACATGAGAATTGGAGAAAACACTGCAATAGAGAGTTTAGAAAAATTTGTTAAAGCAATGGTTTTAATTTTTTCCAACGAGTACTTAAGGTCACCAAATAGCAATGACATAGCTAGATTGCTAGAAGTTGGAGAAAGACGTGATTTTCTTGGGATGTTAGGGAGCATTGATTGCATGCACTGGCAATGGAAGAATTGCCCGACTGCCTAGAAAGGTATGTTTTCTGGACATGTTTGTGAATCAACAATAATTTTAGAAGCAGTGGATTCATATGATCTTTGGATATGACATGCGTTTTTTGGGTTACCGGGTTCCCATAATGACATCAACGTGCTTGAACGATCTTTTGTATTTTTTGAGCTTGCTCAAGGACGTGCTCCTCCAGTCAATTACTCAATCAATGGGAATAACTATACAATGGAATATTATCTCGCTGATGGTATATATCCCCAGTGGTCAACATTTGTAAAAACAATTCCATCCCCACAAGGAAACAAAAGAAAACATTTTGCTGCCATGCAAGAGTCAACAAGAAAAGATATAGAACACGCATTTGGAGTATTGCAAGCACGATTTGCAATTATGCGTGGACTTGCACGATCTTGGAAACGTGAAACACTCAAAGACATTAAGAAAAGCATGCATAATACTACATAACATGATTATTGAAGATGAACGACATACCAACCAAACGAATGGAGATTTTAAATATGAACACATCAATGCAACTCCCCAGGTACGTGTATCTCATGAGTAGACCCCTGAAGTTATGGAGTTCATTCAAAACCATGATCGCATTAGGGATAGAAAAACTCATTGTCAACTCCAATCGAATCTTGTCAAACACTTGTGGCAATTACATAGTCTATCGTAACAACTTGTATCACAACTCAAGGGACCTATTGTAATCACAATTCAGTTCAGTCAAAACCATCATCGCATTCAGTACTTTTATTCACATTTTAATACTTTTGTGATCACCTATTCAGTTTTTAATTGCTTGTTGGCATTAGTAACAAAAACTAATAGT